AGAACTCACCGAAGAAGTGGTCAATTAGTCCACAAGTAGTGCTCATATAGTCCTCAATCGATGCCTACCTGAAGGAGACATTCAATCACTAAAAGCACTCAAAATTCTTGTCTTTATTCTCATTATTAAATGATTTCTATTTATTTTACTTAAGTCTTCAATTTGTTTCCATTTATTGTACCATAAATTCATTCAAAGTCAGACTAAATACAAGTAAAAATATTTATTTAGAAGTTTTTATAGTTATATACATTTCATATGATTTCAATGCAATCGAGATAACGATCAGTCGATTGTTAGACCGCTTTCTGATGAATACTTGTCGAGTAATTGCTGTTTCTTTCGGCGAACCAACTCTTGCTGTACTTCTTGTTGTGTCGGAACAAACGGCACGTGAGATATAAACCGTTTCGGACCGCAAGCGTCCAAACCGTCCGATTCGTCGTCAATAGTATTAGATTTAAACAAATCTTTAATGTCTTGAATGCCTTCTTCGGCTGCAATTGAGGCCAACAGTTGTCTCTCGACTTTCTGCTCTTCGGCGACAATAACGCCATCGTCTTCATCCCTGAAGCCATAATAGTCTGCATCGATGTCTCTCATGAGTTCCGCGCGTGTCTTTCGCGGCAAAATCGGCGGGTCGTGTGAAAAGAGATCGCGAACTCCGGGCAAGTCTTTGGCGGCGCCGAAGTACTTATAGCCACGATTTCCCACCACTTCTTTGCCCGAGTTCTCGAAACGCGGACCACTTCTGCGGATATGATTAACACTCATGAGTGATATGGACATCAGGAATGGCAAAGAGGTATAACATACCGATTGGTGTAACCGCCCAACTGGTGGATCCGGTACTCCCAGTGCCTCTTCTCTCTCAAGAGTTTGTTGATCTGGTCGTTGAGGTCTCTGATCCGGAACTCTCCTAACCCTGCGTTTTGTATTTGAGTCACCTTTTTGCTGATCTCGCGGACGATGTCTAAGCGCCACTTCTGGGCCTCTTTCAGGTCATCGCACTGGGAGGCCAGGTATGGGCGGCGCTGTTTGGATCCACCGGCACCTCCACCACCACCTCCTGTCTGGTCATCGAGTTGTGATTGTCTCCATCGGGCGAGAGTTGTCATCGCCTTCTCTGCGTTTCGGGCCATCGCTTCAGATGTGCTCTAATTGTCTTGAAATTGTGGTCAAAAGTCTTCACGACTTGTGTTTGTCTTCAGATGTCTTCAAATGTTTTCAAATGAATTCACATTTTGTTTGCATTTCTGTCCATAAATTTCGTCAATTCTTAGGCACAGAAACTGAATGCAAATACTTTTGCAAAGTTTTATTGAAAAGCATTTCAAACATTGAATGCAAATAATAGTAACTTTTTAATAGTATCAAGATAACTTTTATTGAGTCTTAAATTGGCTTAAATCACTTCCAGTCAGAAGTATGAATCCCTTTCTGAACATCAAAATGATGTGATTTTTGTCGTCCAGAAACAGATTGTTTGTTGTGAGGACTCGGATGTGTTTATTGACAGTTGTCTTCACGCGGAGTGCATCTGTGGTCACAACGAAGGCCTGTCCGCTGTCTGGCAACTGAATGGTGAGGCGGGACTCGAGGCCTTCCTTTACCACTCCAGACGACGGCATTTCATCGATGTTTGCGAAGACCACAATCCGACCCGTTTTGGACACGAACTCAAACTTCTTATCCACTGTTCGCGCGTTTCTTTCGCTGATCTCCAGACGTGTGAGAAGTGGTCCCAAAAGAGAGATATATTTGTTTGGAGCGATCACTTGGTCCGACAGTTTGACTTGATTTTGAAACTCATTTCTTCCGAATTCCAGTTCTTTGTTAATAACCGACGAAAAGAATTTGAACAAAGAGTTGAACTCAAGAAACCAGAAGTTGTCGCTCAGAAGTGTCTCATTGGTGTCAGCGTTGATAACTATGAGTCGTTGTCTCACTTGAACCAAATGGAAACCACTCTTTTCGGTCGTCATTACGAAGAGCACCGGTTTAACGAGTAATAGCTCTCTTGAAATCTGTGTGAACTCCGGCCGAAGACATGTGTAAATGAGTTCATTCTCATTGAGACCTCCATTGCCCACAACGACAACTGTTACGTCAATTGCTTGCAAAACAAAGTGAATCCCCGACTCCAGAGGAATGCATTGGAGACCACTCTCGAGGACTGCCACCTGACCGTTGCGGCGGACGATAACCACTGGCTCTTTGGTCACAGCAATGGTGTCTTCGACGACAACCACTCCGTTTTGACCGATGACTACGAGCACAGAACCGGAGGAAAACCATTTGGGATATCGTTGTATCGCTGATGGAATGCCTGTATTGACGTGAGCCGGGTAATAGCGAAAGTCATACCATTGACCCTTTGTGACACGAGTTATAACGGGTCCTATTCTTATGCTACCATTTGGTGAAGATATTAAACACCAGTCCTCAGAAACGCCAACGTTTTTCATCGTAAGTCTATAATAGTCTAAAAGCTTAGCGACTGGTCTTTGATTTGATGGTTGACTTTGATCTGTCATTCCTTTTATTCTAATGTTCTGAAGCAATACCTGAAGAGGATAATCAAGGTTATGGAGTAGTGGTGGTGTCATGTCTCAAGTCTTGACAAAGTCATGTCACAAATAAATATCGTGAGGAGAGTCTCGTTGAGACAATAGTAGAGAACTCAGTGACCCATTCACTCATTCATTCAAATTTAGTTTCAATATTAGACTTCACAACCGATTCCCGCATTCATTACAGTCTATGAACTCAACACTCAATCAAACGGCGAACGCATTGAACGCGCAGTGAATGCAGTGATTGAGTGGACGTACGAGTCGTCGGAATCTTGCGATTCGTTTCATTCAAACAGTCATTCGATTCGCAAATCAAACCATTCTTTCCATCATTTCTTCACTTTTGTTGACATCAAGTGTTTCATCAGTTCTTGTATTCATTCATTCATTTGTGTCGAGAATATGTTTGCCTTTCATTATCGACCAAAACGTTTGGCCGTAAAGACGACAGACATTACAAAAGACACCGAAAACTCGCCGTTAGTGTCCACTCAACCGAAGACACCAATCACTGGATCTCTTAGTCAACTGAAGACACCATTCAGTGCGACACCGACTCAGACGACCGCTTTTGGCACTAATATGAGCGCTAATAAGACACAGACATTGGCGCCGAAGAACGTGTCGTCCATTGGTTCCGTCGAGTGTTTGGCGTCAGAGATGGCACTGAAGGACAGAGTGTCCGAAGAGTTGGAACGGATAGAGATGTGGAAAGAGTTGACACAAATGGAGGCCAAACGACGTCAAGAGGAGATCCAGCGCTTGAAGGCATCGGTCGAGGAGTTGTCGCACAAACTCATGGCTTCCGAGACGGAGAGGAATCGAGCGTTGAGTCAACTGAAGAGCGATTCGGCCGAAAGAGAGGAGATCTTCGCGAAGATGGACACAACGCGAGAGATGTTTAATCGCCTCAAGAATTACATCCAATCTCTAGAGACACGGATCGCGAGTTTTGATGACATCCGAGATGTGGTCGAAGCCGTCAATGAGAGCCGTTGCAAACAATACGAAGACTTGTGTCAACGGTTCCGTCAGTTGGACGTCAAACACAAGACTCGTGTCTCAGAACTGATCGCTAAACTAAAGGTCCAGAAGAAGGAGGCAATGGAAGCGAAGCGAGTCTTTGACAAAATCAGTCATGACTTCGACTGTTGTCGCCACGAGTCCAACGACCGGATCTTAAATCTGGACTCAGAACTGAAGCAAATGAGTGGACAAATCGTATCGCTTGAGTCACAGCTCAGCGATGACAAGAAGCAGATCCAGTCTTTGACGGAAGAGATAACTAATAGCATCGACTTATTGGCCAGAAATGAACAACAAATGAGTCAATTAAAGTCAACTTTAGAGCTAAAAGACTCGCAAATTAACGATTTAGAGTCCACTTTGAAGACAACCGAAGTGGAAATGGATCTCAAGCTTAAAGAGAGTGAAAATCAAATTAAGGAATTGTCAGTAGAAAAGACCCGTTTGTCTGAATTGGCTGAAGATCTAAATAAGTCATTGATTTCCTTACATAACGACAAACAACTCTTTGAGTCGAAGATTCTTAACCAAAAGGAGACACTCATCAGTGGTTACGACAATAGAGTCAAAAAACTCGAACTGACAATAGAGTCACTTCGGGATCAGACCATCGAGTTGTCAAAAATGAATTCACAAAATGAGACTTTAGTGGAAGAATGGCAATCAAAAGCCAATCAATCGCTGATCGAAAAGGAGTCGATTGAGAAACAATTGAAAGACGAGTTGAAGGAATTGAAAGATAATTTTGATTCCAAAATGAATGAGTTCTCGACTAAGATCTCGGAAATGGAGACCAAAATTAGAGATTTAGTTGTTTTGAAGGAACAAAATGAGTCAAAACTCAAAGATCTCTTAAATGAAACGGAAGTCTTGAGAAAAGACAAACAGAGTCTTGAGATGAAGTTAGAGCGCGAGGAGAACTCTCACGAGATCCAGATGTCAAACATGTCAGCGATCGTAGAGTCGTGTAAAACAGACTTCAATATTCGTATTGAAGACAAGGAGGAGAGGATCCGCGAGTATAAGCGTCAACTCGAAAGGAGTCGTCAATCTGTGGACCTTTTGTCGAAAAAGTGCGAACGACTGGAAACCGAAAAGCAGTCAATATCTCGAAATCTGCAACAATTGACGATCAGTTCCATGCGTCCGATGAGCTCATCTCCTAATCAATTGCTGACTCCGAAGTTTATGTCTCCGATCGATACCTCAACCATTTCTGGCAACCGATACGACCCATCGTTTGTGCAGTCGTTGACGACTTCACTCAAACACATGGCTAACGAAAACCTGGAGAAAACGCAAGAAAGCAAAAGCAATCAAAAGCTGACTCTCAGTGTCGGCGCAAATGTAGTGAAAGAAAAGTCGAAAATCACTGCAATGCCGAAGAAATCCGTAAAATTCAATGAAACCGATTCCTCGCAAAGTGTTTACGAAATATTAGACAACAAACTGAAGAAAATGAAAAAACCCGAAAAGAGCGCAAAAGTAGTTCTCAAAGGGAGCCGAAAGACTAAAGAATACAGAATCGACTCTCCCTTAAGAGTGGATATGTCTTTAGCTGAGGACACCATTGGTTGCGACCTCAAGGGAGCCCTCAAAGGAGGTGTTGAAAAGGACACTAAGAAGAAGGACGAGAGGGAACCGCTTAAGAAGAAGATTAAGACTTTAGAGCTCAAGACGTATGGCAAACAGAACGTGAGAGTGGAGAACATCCTGTTGGGCAGACCCACGCCCACCAAAACCGGTGATCTTTCATGGCTTGAAGATCTTTGAATGAAAACTTGTGTCTTATTTTCATTTAATTCATTATTTCTACTGCCCTTTTGTTACTTTAATTATTTCATTCATTTATTCTCGTGATTTTTGTATTTTTAAATTTTCTGTTCATAACATATCGTATAAATAATAGACACTTGTATTCAGGTTCTAATTCTAATAAATTAAAAATTTAAAATAACCAAAAAAACTAGTTAATTGTCTTGAAAGGAGTGTTTAATAAATGAAATGTTTGTCTTATTTTGAGATATTCTTTCAGTTTGTCTTAGATTTATGTCTTATGTGTTAGAAATAACTCATGAGATTGTCTTTATGTCTTATTCTTAATTTAATGGTTAGATTTTGTAATTCATTGAAAAGTAATCACAAGAATTTTAATTTGAATTGAAATTAAATCAAAAGAAAATAAATAAAAGATTTGGCAGACTCTTTAATTAATATAGTTTGCAATTAAATGATCATTTAGAAAAGTGTTGTTTTTATTTATAATTTTTAACCAATTTTAAGTTTATTGAGTAAATTATATCCATTTGAGGTGTTTTTCAAAAACTTAGTTTATTTATTCGAGAAAGTATGGAAAGTATTAGAAATCATTGAAAAGAGAATTTGACTTAATATATCACAATAATACTGTATAAATATTTTTATCAACAAAATTAAGAGTAAAAATAATTGATAAGTCATATTAAAATATATCAAACTCTTAAGTTAATTTGGAAATTAATTTTCAATTTGTCTTTGAGAAGAATTTTGAAAAAATAAATGATTACAGAAACCAATGCAAGTGTGACGGATGAGATGAGTATAGGATGTGTTGTCTTAAACCTATGAAAGTAAGCAATTGGTCCCATATATGACTCCGAATAACTACAATCTATAAGTTGTTTTAAACGGTTTACTTCACACTATAGTAGATAAAAATAAGTTAATTCTGTTAAACTATTTGTTAACTAATTACTTCAACACTTAATTCCTGATCACAAGTATAGCAGTATTTGATCATTTGGTTGATTTTGAATAATATTATAAAACCATTTCCTCTAAGTTTGCTTATTATTAAACTTGATTTTTCACTGAATTGGCTGAAAATGGCAATCACTTCAAGGCTTGGGTCTAACAGTTGAATAACTTTTGGTTCAAAAATGATAATTTGTGGCTTTGATGTCAAGTCTTTGTTGAATCTAAAACATTGTACTTTTCGTTTAAATTTTAGTAAACCATAGAGTTTTTGTTGCAAAAAGCAGACAGTATTTGAACGATTAGTGTTTGAATTGATAGCAAAAGCAAGGGTTGGCTTAAAGTTATAAAACTGATGCTGAAGAGCACCCGTACATTGAGAACTATATAACTGGTGTCCACCAAACTTTCCCCAATATATTGTTTGAGTTGTTTTCTACAAAACAAATAGTTTGTCAGTGAAGACGAAATGATATTCAAATAGCAAACCGATATGAGTCCAGTTGTATAGTCATTATATTTGTCGTGAACACAGAATCCCATTCCGTATTCACTCCAAAACCAATCACTTTCTCTGCCAATCATTGAAATAAAGTTAATTTGTTTGTAATCGTCGTTTTGATGGTCTCTGAACTCCAGTTCCCAAAAGAGTCTATCGATTACTAAATATAATTTCGATTCACTTTCCCTTTGATTGTGTTTATAACCGAAACCAATATTATTGTCGTTAGAATTAAAAGCATTGCAGAAATCTCTTGGCTCTACAATTGTCACCATTAAAGACAATGATATCATTTTGACTATCATTTCGTAAAAATTTTCTTCAATTCTTATACTAATGGTTAGAATCGGATCCTAAGTTGTGGTAAGACTTTGAATGAAGGAGTGGTTAAAGATTTACTTAACGACTGATTAGCTCTCACTTCACGAATGAATTGCTTTTCAAATCAAATCATTGAATACAACAGACATTC